GATGGCCATGTGAGACTTAGACTTCCGCTGTGTGTTTTTAAAGTTGTTTTAATGAAGTTTAAATGTGTGGATGTAAATAAGTTTTTTTATTATTCCGCACTATTTTCATTATTGAATGCAATGAATGACTATGTGGCTTGTATAAGACCCCTTCGGGGTCGAAAAACCCCATTTTTTTTCTCTCATTTTTCTCCAGCAAACAAAGACCAGCAGCTACAAATCACTGCCACCAGCCCTTCCTTTTCCATTTCCGTTTCCGGCCAGCAACCATGACCACCAAACACCCATTTTACTTTTCTTTCTCCCCAAACAACTAGCCCTCAACCCCCTGTTCTTTCTTCTCCGTTCTCCCTCAATAAACCCCCAAACCACTAGATCTAACAAACAACAACCAGACCCCAACAATCCAAATTCCACCCGATTCTCCAACCAGACCTCAAAGCTCCACCAAAAACCAACCAGAAAACAACCAACCACCACCACTAAACCTCCGGAAAAACACTTGAAACCGGCAGTCCCGAGCTCCAGCGAGTTTTTGGCTCCAGCAACTATCAACCCAACACCAAAACGACCTCAAAAACCCAACTGTTTTCCAGCGACCAACGCAACAGAGCAGCCAACCAAACGATTCATCGTTCTCCCAAAACCCATCACAACAACAGCAAACCGAAACAACAGGGACAATCCATCCCCTCCCCTTTTCCCTTTTCTATTTTTGATTCTTGTTTGTCTTTGCAGGTGTTCCATCAACGCCGACGAACCAGAACTCTAACCAGCGAGCTATTTAGCTCTGAAAACCAGTGAGCCCCGAGCTCACACAGTGGAAAACAACAACCCCAAACTCTAGTTTCGGTGTGGCTCCATATCCGACGCAAACCAACTCCGGCGTGACTCCAAGCTCTGGTGACCATCTTAATTTCACATTTTAATATATATATCTCTATCTATTTTTCAGCATTTTATTCTTATTTTCTTTTGATAAATGTTTTCATGTTACTGTTTGTAGTTATTTTATTTTATTTTATTAAGTTTGTTGTTTTCATTCTTGGGCTCCTCTAGTTCACTGTTGTTGTAGTTGGTTAGTTGTTATTACTTTTATTAATTTTATTATTATTATATTATAGTTGATATATAAATGTTGCTTGCTACAACCTAGGTTTTATTGTTATTATCCGTCAGTGTTGCTTCAATTTAATATATTATTATTGTCAAGCTTCAAACCCAATGGGTTGTCTTCTGTTGCTATTGATTATCTAAATTTTTTTTATTTAGATTTTTTGTTTAAACAAGGTCCGATGATGAGTCTTCAGTTATACACTGTAATTTGCTTCTAACTTGGAAAATATTTGCAAGCCCACCGTTAATGCTATTTTTATATTTACTTTGGATTATTTTCTTATCTTAATTATTTTTGCCAATTCATTATTGAGTAGTTGAAATTGGCCAATGAGAAAACCTCTCCGTCGGTTTTGGAGGCCTCCCCATTCTTTATATGTTAAAATTGGCTGATGAAGAAATTATCGTCGATTTCCAAGGTCTCCCATGTTAATAAGACGGGTTTTTATTTTTTAAGTTATTATTCGATTCATTTATTTTTATTCATATTTATTTAGTACTAACACTTTTACTAAGTGTCTTTACAGGTACATGGAGGTGCTTCCCATTGAAGCTAGTCGAATGAAGTTCGAATTATGCTTTTTTCATTATTTTGTATATATCGACGTTCTCTTCGAAATAACTTGAACCCCCTACCTAGAATATATTGGTTTTGTAGACATTTTTTTAAAACTTTATATATTAATTGGTTTCCTAGTTTTCCTAAAAATTAGGTGGTGACTCTCTCTTTACCCCTTTTACCTTTTTTTTTTAAAAGAAAAAATCTTTTTAACTCTTTTAAAATTGAGTCACCACGACGTTGCGTCCTCTCAAAGGATGTCGTAACACCGGATTCAAGTACTGGGACTCAAATTCTCTGATCTTTTCTATGATGGACCTATGGCTCGTAGTTCAAGTACTGGGATTCAAATTCTCTGATATTTTCTATGACATAGACCTATGGCTCGTAGAAATTCTTATGGCTCGTACTCCTGTCTCGATGCACAACACTTGGCTTCAAAACAAATCAGTGTGTTCTACGACTCATTGCTAAGACTCGTAGGAGAAGTCGTCAATCCTCAAAAACTTGTTGTTTATCCTGTTTTGTCTCGACTAGTCAAAACATATTTTCCTATAAAATACAAGTAACATATCATTAAATCTACTAACAAATGCTTAAGACAAACACAAAACTCCAAGCTTAAAGCATGATAAGTATCGTAAATTTATTGTACATTAATGGTTAAGTTTCAATTCCTCCAAATATCATAAATATAATGGTATTCATATGATACAATATGCCTAATATTTAATTACATATCTTAATGTATCAAAACTTGAATCATAATGTGATAACCAACAAACATAATCTAAAGATTGAAGTCAATTAATTATGGACCATTAACGTCAACCACGAAACACGAATTAGCCTTTATTTATATATATTCCTCCAATCATCACATTATCATTGTCTTATAATTATTTCTTAAATCATTTGGTAATCATTAAGCCCTTAATTGATATATCAATAAGTAATAGCCACGTTTGCAGTAACATCAATTTGAAAGATTCAATTTGTTTCCTCACGTATAATATAATACTCTTTTTCCTCTAAGAACAATGTATAAGAACAATGTATAATTTTTTCATATACCTAGCAATCCATACTACGTACTCAATGGATTGATATTTTTGAAGCTCTCACCTGAATGCGCCGTTGCTTCAGGGTTGACACTGCGGGTAAGTTTCTCTTCTATTCTTTTTTTTTTAAAAAAAATCTATCAAAAGTGATCAACCCCATTATTTTTATTTTTATACATGAGTCAAGTGACATATGATATTAAATAAATCTAAAGCTTGGTCCATTAATTACCAGCTAAATTAATTATATAACAAATCTTGTCAACTAAATAACTGTAGTTAAACGAATAAAATAAAGTCTCATTTAAAATTTACGGAAAGAGTCTTTTATGAAAAAAGAAGTTCTACTACTCAAAACAACCTAATGGGTTGTTAAAATCATCTTATGATTAATGTCTTCACGATTATTAATAATAACTAAATTTGAAATTTATTCCTTTTGAACTTAAAAACTAGAAAGGATTCTTAAAATATTCTTGATATTTGAATACTACAAAAGTTTATTTCAAATATGTAATATAATTTTTATCATCACCCGAAGCGCGCACAAGTTTACTAGCCTTATTATTTAAACTTATAATTTATTATATCATTAACTTATAAATAGTGATTAACTAGTATCCACTGACAGTAGACAATAAAATTACACGGACAATTTAGTTTTATAAATATTATAAAGTGTATTCCCATATTATTTATATTTAAATAAAAATAATAGAAAGAGTACTATAAGTTAAATTGGACTCTAAAGTAACTATATGGAGTCTGTGTAGAATTCTTACTTTGCTTACTAAAAATAAGGACTTCTTTTATGACTTGTCTTCGTGTCATTATTTGTCGTCTTCTACAACACTATTAAAGCAATAGACATACATCATTGCAACAATTTGAGACAATTACCAGCTCACACAAAAAAATATGAATATTTTTACCCATCATATGAAATTGATTGAATGAACTAAAAAGAGAAAATACAATTTCAAGTAATGAAAGCATCTATTCAGACATTTTTTCATGTTGGGGGAAAGACTTATTAAGTTGCGAATATTTATTTTTTAAAATTAACTAGTTTAGGTTTTGAAAAAGAAAACGATAATGGGTGAAAAGTTATCATTTTTTCAAGGGACAAGGGTCTGAATTAGGTTTTGAAAAAGAAAACGATAATGAGTGAAAAGTTATCATTTTTTTTAGGGACAAGGGTCTGAAAAATACCCAACTTTGGTCGAATTTGTTGTTGCGATACTAAACTTTCATGAGGACCTATTACCTCCCTAGACTATTTAATATCGTATTTTTTATCCCCTGAACTATTTAATAGTGTATTTTAAAGGTATATATGTGCCCACGTGGACACATTACTATTTTATAATTTTGCATTATTTTTTATGTCCACGTGGGCAAATATATATGTTTAAAATACGGTATTAAATCTAGGGAGGTAAATAGGTCCTCATGAAAGTTTAGTATCGCAACAGCAAATCCAACCAAAGTTGAGGTATTTTTCAGACCTTTGTCCCTTTTTTTAATATGTCTTGGTGATTGTCTCAATTGCTTCAATAATGTATGCTTGTTATTTCAATGGTGTTGAAGAAGGGTGTGACCAATAACGACACTGAAGACAAGCCGTAAAAGAAGTCGATTTTTAGTAAGCCAAGTAAGATTTCTAAAAAAATTCCATATAATTAATTTATAGTCCAACTTATCTTATAATACTCTTTTGTTATTTTTATTTAAATATTAATAATATATGAAAAATAGTTTATAATATTTCTAAAATAACATTTCTTCTGAGTGGGTACTGGGTAATTTCTTATGAATAATAATTCTCTTTCAATTCTTAAAAACTGGTATATAAATAAAAATAACTTGTATTTTATGAATTTTATTATTATTTTATATATCTAAGTGTTAGAAGTGTGTTACCACGACTAAGCTAGAGTTTGGCCTCAAGTTCTCAAATATTCTTGACAAATAATATTTGGGCCAAGTTTTTGGTGAAATTAAACCATGTGTTTGGCCCCAAGTTTTCCCAATAATATTTGGCTATTTCAAAAAAATAAATATAATTTATACCCATAAATTCTAAAAATTATTAAAAATATCCATAAATTTGTATTATCTATTTATAGTGAATATTTTCCGTTAAAAAATAACCTTACAAAATATAAAAGTTTGGAGTGATTTTCAATTTTTTTTTTAGTATTTGGGAACTTGGATTCTTGGCAAATAAATTTGCCAAATTACGTAGCCAAGTTTTTTCCAAATTTTATTTGGGGCCAAACAGGTTCTAATTATGGTTAACAAGTTAAACAATACACTTATGTAAAGGAGCAAAGAGGCCGCAGAATTATGAAAAAGAAAGTTATTTAAACCCTACTATTAGCCGTTCTACAAAACCTTTCTCCCAATTAACCTTTGCATTGTTATTGTTTTGTGATCATGGATTCAGATTCTTTTGCAACGAAAGCACCTAGAAAGGTAAAAACTTTTCAATATTTTCTGCAAATTAATTTTATGTGTGATTGATTGATTGATGGATGATTTTTGTAGGTGAGATTTGCACCGAAAGGTCCTCCTCGTAGAGCGCAGAAAACTGTTCTGCCCAAACCGTAATTATATATATTCTGAAACTTGTTGAAATCCCCAAACGACGGTATTCAGTTTTTTTTATTCGATCGTAATTTTGGTACTTGCAGAGAAAACGTTGAAGCTGATGGTGATGCCGCTAAAGCAGAGGAATTGATGCAGCGCTTCAATGTATGTATGATTTTGTCATTTTAATGATTTCGTTTATCCTCTAACTTAAATGTATTCATTCTTATTCTCATTCTAATTAATTAATTGTAGGAAGCTTCTGCAAAAGTTAAACATAAAGTAGAAAAGAAAGGTAAGTACTATGAAACTCCGTTGCCTCTCTTCATTATTTTTAGAAAAATAAATCCGAAATTTATGGTTTACTATCTGAAAATCCAATAATAACAAGTTCTCTGTTGTTATTTATATTTTTGTTATAAGTTAGATTATATTCATTCTGATTTCTGTCCTTGATAAATTTTATAACCTATGGAAATAATAAAATAAATAATACTACCAACAATTAGACATTGCTATTCTGGTTTTCTATCTAAATGATTGGACCATCACTAAGCAATACCCTTTTGAAGTTTCAAATCTACGATTTGGTTGGTCCCAGCATCTAATATTGGAAATTAACAATTCAGTGTATTCAATACCTTTTCCTCCCTCTAGGGGTATGTTAATCAATTAATTTACATTTTTATTAGGAATGGCAATGGGGCGGGTTTAAGGCTATGTGGGGCAGTCTCTAAGTGGGTATGGGGCGGGGTGGGTCAAAGCCTTAATGTTTTAAAATTATGCGGGTGCGGGGTGTGTTGACGTCTCCTCCCTTGTGTTCTACTGCTGCTTGTTTGATAAAATTCTCAAATAACATACAAGTTTTCTTCCCTGTATCATTTTATATTTCACCTGCCAAAAATTTAGGAAAAGATTTATATGCATCTAGCTATGGCTGGTACTTGGAAAAATTTTCTGTTGCACAAACTATCAAGTGAAAAGTTTCAAATTTTGGAGAAAAAGGTTTAAAATCCAGTGATGAGCAAAAACTTGTTTGATAAGGCCAAACTAGTAGATTTAGTAAGTATTTATGATTTCAGGAGGATGAAAAAGTCAAATTTTTAAAGTCCTAATGTGATAAAACAGAGGTCGTTAACTTGTTTCAACTTTTCTTTCAACATCAATGTGCAAAATTCACATTTGCCTTAATTTGTTCAAGTAAAATCATTAGTATCTCGTTAGTTCAACAAATTTCATGGTATTCTAACAATTTAGTTTGGACTTCAAATTCGATATTTTACGCTGGTCTATAATGTCGGCCAAGAATTTAATGACAATATAACTTACTTTGTGTATGTAGCAGCAATAACTTAAGTGGGGCAGGACGGATTGGGTTTATGCGAGGCTGGTTAAAAATTGAAAAGAATGAAATGCGTGGCATCCCTAGTTTTTACTTCTTAATGGTTTTAGGAACATCTATCCCATTTGTAGTGTAAAGAATGACCAATAAAAATATGTATGTTATGATTTATGGAAAGTGTTGTTTGTCAATATTCTTGCTATCAATACTACTAATAACAGAATGATAATTCTTAGAATTTTTCTTCCTTGAATTTTTCTAGGACCTACTCAAGTTGCATTTGGTTATGGAGGTTCATCATCTTCATTGAAATCATATGGCCATTATAACAAGGTTTCTGGATCAATGTCCGATGGCAAGTATTTTCTCTAATCATTTTACTTTCTTTCTGCTATATGGATGTATTGCAGCTTGTTTGACACAAAGCAGGTTCTGCAGGTGGTATCGGTGGGGAGCGAGTGCAGAAGGAATACACCGAGCCATGGGTTGGTTTTAAAGAATATGCCCTTTTGTATTAAGTTTCTAGTTTCCTTGGCTGAATTTCCTCTCATTTTCCATGCAAGCTTTCTTCTGCCTGAAATTTTGTCTCTCATTTTATATCTCAGGATTACTATACCAACTATCCTGTAACGCTTCCCGTGAGGAGGCCCTATTCAGGAAATCCAGGTAAATTCAGCGAATGCTTTGAAAACCAAATCGCCATCTTTCAGGAAAAAATACAAAGAACACTTCATATTGATGCCTGAAAAACCTATTAAGCAATTGATCTCTTTCCAATTCTGGTTGTGATTTGCATATTTCGTATTCTTTAATATGAAGATCATTACCATTGATATGTACCTTTTACCCTGCAGAACTTCTTGACGAGGAAGAATTTGGGGAAGCTTCCCGAAGCTTGACTTATGATGAGAATTCCATAAAACCAGCGATGGATCTTGGTCTAATGGTTAGTAAACTGGTTGATGGTTTGACTTCAACTTATTACTAAGTAGTTTCCATGAATCCTTACGTGAATGATTGGTAGGAGGAGAGTCTGGAGGAAAAGATGTTCTTGGTGCAATTACCAACCATGCCAATGTTGAAGCAATCTATTAAAACAGAAGGCAGTGAGATGGCGAACAGCTCAAAGCCTTCAAAGGCTAAGGCCTGCAGTTTAAATGAGTTACCTGCAGGATTCATGGGTAAAATGTTAGTGTACAAAAGCGGCGCTGTTAAGCTGAAGCTTGGTGAAACCCTTTTTAATGTAAGTTTGCTTCATTATATGATTTTCTTAAGGCATATGTTAGTTTAGATACGTGTCAGATTATTTGTCCTTGCGGATAAGCTCCCACCTTTTTTTGCTCCCTTAGTGACTCGATCCCAGACCTTTAAATAAAAAAGAGAAACTCTTTATGCTGATGGTAAATAGCTTAACACATTGAAATACTGATCTTGTAACTGTTCATTAAGAAAACACTAATTTATTCAAGTGCATTATTGGTAGAAATCTATGCCGGCATTGTTATTGGCATCTGACATCTCGAAATGGACTGCAGCTTTCTCCAGGTATGGATTGCTCGTTTGCCCAGGATGTTGTTGCGGTTAATACAGAAGAGAAGTATTGCTCTAACATTGGGGAGCTCACTAAGCGTATCATTATAACACCAGATGTGGATTCACTCTTGGATTCTATCTGATTATGTTGGTGTAGTTGCTATTTATTAAGCTTTAGTTATACATATAGCAATTAACTATTCTTATTTGAAGTTAGCACAGCTTTATACCCCTTGTAGGCACTTATTTAGCCCTTTTCAATGATGAACAATTAGCATAATACATGAAATTTGTTTGTTCTTTCATAAGACTAATATCCATGTTTGAGGTTTGCATTTACTGTGTCAATCAGTTGATATTGCGCCAAATACATGAAAAGTCACTCCTACCATTTGGCTAGGTGCTCAATTTTTATCTAATGATGAATGAGTAGACAATGAAATTTAGTTTTCAAGAGAAAGGTGATGGTGATGGTGATGGTGAGTTTGTAATTGATGACATTCATAGATTATATCACTCGTTGTATTTGGTATTCAGGATTAACTTTTCTAGTTTTAAACAACTGGATATAGACTTGTAAATGCAGTGCACCAGAAGGAAAAGGGAGAAAGTGTAACCCCTGGACAACTGAAAATGTCCAAAGAGTCTTTACTGGTAGGAAATTTTTTTCTGGAGTTCAGTTGAAATAAGGTGCATCACCTAAGTGGTTTTTATGTGAAGAAATACATTATTGTTAGATGTTACTGAAGCATAAGGATCAGTGCTCATGTCAAACCCACGGCCAGCATTGTAGAACCAGGCGGGGGTTCCACAAAACCCACCGCTTCTGGCTCCATGTGAAAACAAATATCAATAGGGTTGAACATATACTTCATAACCTACATTTTTAACCACAAACTCATGAAGTCAACATCCCACATTCCCCACATCTTTGTGAAATTCAGGGATCATTCCTTGTGTTTGTGAAATTGGCATTACAACAAATTCCACTTAACACCAAAAGGCTAAGGATTCCTTCCAAATCAACTCATTTTCCTCAAATCTAAGGAAAATAACTTTCCTTCCAAAATTAAGGAAAACATATTTCAAACTCTACTTCATCCTTTTATTATTTTTCTTACCCTACTCATACCCCGTACCCGACCCTCCTTGTTCAAAAAAAAAAAAAAAATTAAAATTTTTAAATTTTCTTTTTTTTTAAAATTCAAATATATTTTATTCCTACCCCCAAACCAGCACCCCCCCCCTCGGGCGCCACCCCAACCAGGTCACCCGGTAATTTATTTTTTTAAAAAAAAATTGTTTTGAAAAATATTTCAAATTTTAAAAAAAATCAATTTTTATGCCACCCCCAACCCACATCAACCTCCAACTATTAAATTATATTACTTCCATGACTTTTGATTTTTTATATTCATAACCTCCAACTATTAAATTATAAAATTTAAGACAGTTTAGGATATTCTTTCATTTTTGTCTATAAATTCACAAGTTTTTTGTTTCATGAAATCTCAATTCAAGATTTTCATTGTTCTTTGTAGCATTATTCTATTATCAAATTTATGCTTTAATTTGACACCATGAAGAGGACTCTTGAATGTTGATTCATTTCTATTTTTATTTATTTTCTTAATATAAGGTCCTAAGGAAGATCTATGTGTTTATGCTTTCTCCATGTAACTTTTTTAGTTTGAATTTTTATATTTTTTTTTATTATTGAAAGTCTATAATTTGTTTAGATGTAAATTAGTTATTGTAACTTTGTGTTTAACTATAAAATTTTATTATTGCAAGTCTGTATTTTTGTTTAGATGCAAATTAGTTATTATAACTTTATGTGAAATAATACTAACTATTAGCCAAGGTTCAACAATACTATTACGTTGTACAAAAAACTATTTATGTTTTCTTTAAAAATTTCTCTATTTTGTCCCTATAAATTCATAAACTTTTTTTTTATGAAACCCCTACTCATATGTAAAATCTTATTTTCCTTGTATTATTATTGTAGTAAAGCATGACTCAATAAAGAGGGCTCTTGGATGTTGATTAGTTAGCCAGAGGGAGTGTTGACAAGAGCTCAAATAAAGTTGAATGAGAAAACTGTGACATGGCTCTCTCTATGAGCTTCAATCCTATTTCTCTTTTTTTGTGTTTTTTTTTTTGCCATTTTTCTTATTTTAAAATACAAAAAAATCATCTAAATATTAAAAATTGTAATGACCTGTTCCCGTCGTTATAGAAAAGCCATCCGGGAAAGAATTTGGGTCAGAAAACTTTTTCGTAGTAACTTGAGAATTTCTAGCCTAGCCCAGATTTGAACGAATTCGGAGTCATTAAGGTCTAGGTAGACCTGCTAACGAATGAGAGATCGAATTATGATTTTGACCACATGAGTAGATAGCCAAGACGTTAAGGAACCCGTACAACTTTACAGAATCAAATTGGGGCGAGTAGAACTCCCGAATCTGATCTTAGCACACTGAAGCGTTTGCCCAATGGTCATTGCGCACCCATCGAAATCGTTCGCCCTCGCGGAATTTGGGTTTGAATCCCGATAGGCCCACTATATTTTTTTGATAATTTCTAAATGCGTTTTATATTTAAAAAAATAGAATGTGTGTTTATATATAAAAAATTAAAAAAATAGAATATCGGTATAAGTGGGTTTGTATAAATAAAAAATAATTGTTAAATAAAAAAGAAAAAAGAAAAATAGTGTTTGTATCATACTCTGAAACTACAATATCCGACTATTACTCACATTCAAAAAGTTTAACTCAATTTTTTTTTCCAAAAGTTAGGGTTCTAACTTTTATTGTTGATCTAATTGCTGCTATCCAACATCTGGCCTCTGGTGTGTACTCTTGTCTCTCCATTTTCATTTTTTTCATTATTCGTTTGTTTTGACATTGTACAATTAGTTATTCAAAAATTGATTTTTAAACTTTGATTCTATTATCCAACATATTGATAATTGATTATATTAAATTAATTGTTGTTTGCTTTTTAAAATTTTAACTTTTGATGGCATTAATGGTTCAAGATGAGAGTGAAACTAGTAAAATATATGTTTTAGGTGCCAAAATATTAATGCTGAATTTAATAATTTTAATCTCACTTCGAACAATATTGAAGATTATACTAAAAATGTTCAAAATTTTAATTTTAAAAAAATATTTATCTTTTATTAACAATATTTTAGAACTTTAACTTAAATTACTCAAATCTTTGTATTATCAAATTAAGTTTTTTACAATAACAATATCTAAGGTAATGTTTTCAAACACATGACTAACATCTCATTAACATAATTTATGTTTTGTGATTTTTTAGGATTTTTAAGAAAGAGTCAATATGATTACAAAAATTTTTCAAGCCTCAAACTCGTTCAAATACTGCTCCTACCTCTCCTTTGTCAAGTTTGGCATCGCCTGTTGATCTTGTTGAAGCATTGGATAATGACAAAGTGTTAACCAATTTGATCTTAAATTCGATCCAGCTGAAAGAACACAAATTTCAAAATTATCTCCTAATATACGTGACCAAGTGAGGAGATATTATATACAAACGGGACCTTGTCAACCTATTTATTTTACTTTTCCAATAAGAGATTTTGGAGGAACACCACGTCACTTTAATCGAAAATGGTTTAAAAAACCTCCATATTCTCAATGGCTAGAATATAGCATTAAAAAGGATGCAACATATTGCTTATGTTGTTACTTGTTTAAAAATGAGATTGGAGGATATGGGAAAGTAAGTGATTCTTTCACAACGAAAGGTTTTCGAAGTTGAAATAAAGCTTTAGAAAGACTGAAAAAGCATCTTGGTGAAACCAACAGTGTTCATGTTCGTTGTTTCAAGATGTTGCAAGATTTAATGAATCAAAACCAATCTATTCTGGCTTCATTTGACAAGAAATCCAAAAAAATCAAAGGTGAGTATCAGATTCGCTTGAATGCTTCGATTGATGTGGTAAGATATTTGTTGAAGGAAGGAATGCTTTTTCGAGGTCACAATGAAGGCGTAAAGTCTACCAGGAGAGGTCATTTTCTAAATCTCTTAAAGTGGTATGCAGATAGAAAAGAAGAGGTAAAAAATGTTGTATTAGAAAAACTCCAAAAAATAACAGTATGACTTCTCCAGATATCCAAAAGGATATTGTAAATTCTTGTGCAAAAGAAACAGTGAAAGCAATTATTGAAGACTTGAATGGGGATTACTTTGGAATATTGGTTGATGAATCTAAGGATGTTTCTCATAAGGAACAAATGTCCCTTGTTCTGCGGTATGTCAACAAAAAAGGTAAGCTTATTGAGAGATTTTTTGGTGTTGTTCATGTTAAAGACACTTTTGCAAAGTCATTGAAATAAGCGATCTACTCTTTGCTTATAGACCATTCTTTGAGTCGATCACAAATATGAGGCTAATGTTATGATGAAGCTTGTAGCATGCAAGGAGAGCTTAATGACCTTAAAACTTTGATTTTGAAAGATAATTCTTCGGCATATTGCATTCATTGCTTTGCTCATCAATTGCAATTGACTTTGGTAGCTGTTGCGAAAAAACATCGTGATGTGAATAATTTTTTTGACATTCTTTCTAATGTTTTAAATAATGTTGGAGGTTCTTTTAAGCGTAGGGAAATGCTTCGAGGGGATCAAGCTGAAAAATAAGAGGAATTATTAATGCTTGGTGAAGTTCATACAGGAAGTGGATTAAACCAGGAACTCGGACTTCAAAAACCAGGTGATACTAGGTGGAGATCTCATTTTAAGACAGTACATAACTTCATTTCCTTATTCTCATCAATTGTCTATGTACTTGAAGTTCTTGAAAATGAGGGGGTAAATTATCATGAGAAAGCAATGGCAAAAAGTCTAGTGGGAGACATTAAATCTTATGAGTTTATCTACATATTGCATTTAATGTTAAAGATTTTGGAAATTACATATGATTTGAATATGGCTCTGCAACAAAAAGATCAAGATATTGTTACTGCCATGAAGCTTGTCGATCTTGCAAAGAAACAATTGCAATCGATGAGGGAATCTAAATGGAATTATTTGGTAGAAGATATATGCCTATTTTGTGAACAGAATGATATTATGATCCCTAAAATGGATGAGAAATATGGTCTTGGAAAGTCGAAGCGTAAAAGTTCAAGTGTTACATATTCTCATCATTTGTGTGTGGAAGTTTTTTATGCTGTTATAGATTTGCAGCTTTTAGAGCTTAACAATAGCTTTAATGTAGTGAGTATTGATATACTTCTAGGAATGGATAGTTTGAGTCCCGAGAATTCCTTTATAAATTATGATAAAAAGATCATGAAGCTTGCAACGTATTATCCAAATGAATTTGATGCTTCCAAGATTGAAGAGATTAGTTTTGATCTAGACACTTATATTTACTATGTAAGTAAAGTGGACAACGCTTTCTCAAATTTGAAAGGGCTTGGAGATCTTTCGATGGCATTGGTAAAAACAAATATGCACAAGACACGGGGACTTGTTTATTTGCTTTAAAGTTAAGCTTGATATTACCCTTGGCTATTGCAACAGTGGAAAGAGGTTTTTACTCAATGAAGTTCGTTAAAAATGACTTTCGAAGTAGAATGGGCGATGACTTTTTAATTGATTGTTTAGTTTGTTAAATAGAAGATGAATTATTTGAAAGTGTACCTATTGATGTGATCATTGATCGTTTTCAAAATATGACAACTCGTTGAGTGCAATTGTAATGATAATGCTTATATATATAATGTTTAAGTAATTCACCATTTTTAGTGAATTAAATACTTGTATTTGTTCGTTAATTTGATGATTGTTACTTTAGGTTAAGATCGTTGTTCTTTTTAAAAATTTAGAACCCACTGACATGAAATCCTGGCTCTGCCTTTGGTTGAAGGTGTGTTGTGAAATGGGGGTTTGAAACTCAACTTTTGACTATCTATTTCCGTGCAAGCGCCAGGGCAGAATTATTCCCGCAAGGGCGGGGCCGCTATGGCGAGATGGGTCCTGCTACGACGGGCCAGTCGCGAATTAAGTCAGAATTAAACCCTAAAAACATTATTTTCTTCAAGTTTTATTTTTGAGAGCTAGGAGACGACCCCAGGCGATTTCCAGACAATTTTCCACTATTTTTTGTGCTAAAGGTAAGGATTTTACTCCCCTAATCCATTGTTAGATCTGTAGAATTTAGATTTATGGGTGATTATCAATGGGGGAGGGTTTTGACCTGAAAACTAATGGTGGAAAAAGCCATAAGTTGGGTATTGGGATCTCGAGTTTGGCCTAGGGTTGATAATTTCGATTGTAAGCCGTCTAATTAGACCTTACTTATTGATCCTCATATTGAACTGATTGTTTGTAGACCTAGAACAAGTAGAAAGAATCCGAAAAGGGAAGAATCAAGTTTCTTAGGAGGATTCACGTTTGTTTTCGAGGTAGGTGATGGTTTGATTTCATGTTTGTGTGATGTATGCTAGTATTTGCTTTATTGTAATGCATGTATGTATGCGAATGTTGCACTATTGATCACATCTAATGCAAATTAGTATGAATGAATGATTGTATGCCATGAATCAACACTTGATTGTATGATTATGAGAATGTACATTGTGATTGTGATTATGGCTTGTTGAATGGACCAGGTGTTACGTTCCAACATATTAATTGGGATCGGATGTCATGTACCGACATACATATGAGAACGGGTGTCACATTTCGACACACTAACTTGGATCGGGTGTCAATCCGGCACACTAATAGTTTGGGTATGGGTTCCATAAGAGGACCATTGTAGAGGTTTAGGGAGGCCGACACTTGCAGCCCGGCCAATTCAATCCGCTATGCCCGCATCCACATGTAGTTACTCGGGAACTCCACCTCAAAATTTGATTCAAGATAGCCAGGGAGCCGCACCTTCGACAGGCAACAGGCCATCTTTTGATCGCACTTGTTATAATTGTGGAGAACCTAGGCATATGAGGAGAGATTGTCCCCAACCACGCATGTTGGATTCCATGCAACAGTAGACTAGAGCAGTGGTACCCACAAGAAATTGTAATAATGATCGAGGACGTCCATAAGGTGGGCGAGGAGGAAATGAGCGAGGCCACAAAGGTCAGGGAAATTGTAACGTAGGCAGAGGTACGGCGCAACCAGGCAGGGAAGTCGCCTGTCAAGATGACAGGGCTCAGTGTTACGCCTTTCCAGTCAAGAGTGAGGTAGAGTCTTCTAACGCAGTGATCACATGTACCATTCTTGTCTGTGACCGAATGGATAATGCGGTATTTGATTCGGGTTCTACTTATTGTTGTGTGTCCGTTCATTTTGCCTTGGGATTTGATATGATTTGTGAAATACTTGATACCCCCATCCATGTTTCTACCCAGTTGGAAAGTCTGTCATAGTCACCCATGTTTATTGAGCTTGTTCTGTTATGTTTATGGGTTTCCAAACTTGGGCTGATTTGGTTATTTTGGATATGATGGACTTTGATATAATCCTAGGTATGACTTTGTTGTCCCGCCAAATTGTAACACTAAGTCTGTGACTCTAGAAATTTTGGGTAGGGAAAATTTAGAGTGGGAAGGGGTGTACAAGCCAGCTAAGATCATATCCTCCATTCGGGCTAGAAAACTGGCGGGGCATGGTTGTTTGGAATATTTGGCTGATATTCGGGATGTTGAGGTTGAGTCTCCCTCTATTGAGTCTATTCATGTGGTGTCAAAATTTAGAGAAGTGTTTCCTACTGATTTGCCTCGTATGCCTCCGGATAGAGATATAGATTTTTGCATTGATTTGGAACCTGGTACCCGCCCCATTTTCATCCCTCCGTATCGCATGGCCTCGGTAGAATTGAGAGAGCTTAAAGCTCAAATCCAAGAGCTTCTTGATAA